TGCAATCTATACATGTATCAAATCATCATGCAGTAGGCCTTAAACTTCCACAATGTTATGTTAATTATAGCTCAAGAAAGCTGGGAGGCCTCCCTGGTGGTGCAGCTGTGAAGCTGTCCTTGGCCTTTGCAGCTCTTTTGATCCCTGGCCAGGTGGTGGAGGGGGTGGGGGGGCAACCCACATGGTGAGGCAGACCTCTTCTGTCTTGCCTGCTGATCCCCTCAGCAGTGTGTTTTGGTACATCTGCCTGTTCTGCTCCCTGCTCTCTGTGGTGAATCTTCTCATCCCCCCCACAACTCTGGACTGTATCCTACTTCTTTTTTGTTTTTTTGGTGGGACCCTCACCGGTGGCCAGGGAATGAACCGGCTCTGCAGAGGCTTCGGGCAGCCTCACAGCCCAGCGCTCAACCGCTGCGTCACCAGGGGAGGCCCCCTATTTCTAAAAAAAAAAAAAAAAAGAAAGAAAGCTAAGAGAAGAGCCTCCCTGGTGGCGCATGGGGTTAAGATGCAGCACTATGAAGCTATCCTCAGCCACTGCAGCACGAATTCAATCCCTGGCCAGGGAGGTGACTCACATAGCACAGCAGCAGACCTCCTGTCTCACCTGCTGCTCCCCTCAGCAGTGTATTTCAGTAGATCTGTGTGTTCTGCTTCTCACTCAGTCTCTGGTGAATCCTCTCATCCGCCCCCTCCTACATCTCTGGCCTGCACCCCAGCTCTGGTATGCATAAATAAGTAAATCTTTTAAAAAAAGAAAGCTGGGAGGGTGGGAAGAAGAGACTACTAATACAAAGACAACAGAATGTAAATCAAAAAGATCACGTGGGGCCTCCCCGGTGGCGCAGCGGTTGAGTGCTGGGTTACGAAGCTGCCCGTAGCCTCTGCAGCGCTGGTTCGATTCCTGGCTGCTCCCCTGCCACTGGAGGAGGGTCCCACATGGCGCGCAGACCTCTCCTGCCGCCCACTGCTCCCCTCAGCACTGTACTTCGGTCCTTCTGCCTGCTCTGCTCCCCGCTCTGGCTCTGGTGAATTCTCTCACCCTCCTGCGCTTCTGACTATACCCAGTGCTTGTATAAATAAATAAATAAATATATTTAAAAAAAAAAAAAAAGATCATGTGGAAGGATGGGGCCTCCCTGGAGGCGCAAGGGGCTAAGCACAGCATTATGAAGCAATACGCAGCCTCTACAGCAGGAGTTCGATCCCTGGCTAGCCAGGGAGAAACCCACATGGTGCAGCAGACCTCTACTGTCTCGCCTGCTGCTCAATCTGCCTGTTCTGTTCCCCACTCTGTCTCTGGTGAATCCTCTCACCCCACCCACACCTCTGGCCTGTACCCCAGCTCTCCTATGCACAGATAAATAAAAATCTTTAAAAAAAAAAAAAAAAAAGATCATGTGGAGGGAAAGAAGGCAGCTTTACACAGTCTGCCAGTCCACTAACACGAAGTTCTGAACAGTTAGACTAACTGGAGTTATAGGAACTAGATCAATAACTATGCCTGGGACAAAATGCGTTGGAGAGGGCCAGAAGAAACTTCCTGGAGTGATGAAAAAAAAAATGTTCTAGATCTTGATGACGGTCTCAGTTATATGAAAGAATACATTTAGGAAAAATTCACTAAGCTATCTGCATAAAACTTCTGCATTTTATTTTATATCTGTAAATTATACCCTCAATTAGACCTTAATGTAGTTCTGATGCGAAAGAAAAAACAGAAGGATGAGCCAGAGAGCAAGCTCTACCTGTCAGGCCTGAGTAGAAATCCGGGACCTTGTCACTTCTCGGAAGAGTGACCCTAGGAAAATCCCTTCATCTCACTATTTCTCAGTTTTCAAATATATGAAACAGAAATGATAATAATTTCCCCTCACTAGGTTGTTAAACTTGAAGGAATAACTACATTAATACTCATTAAGCATTTAGAATATTATTTGGCATATGGCAAGACTTCAACAAATGAAAGCTTTAATAAAATAAACCGGCCTCGATACAGGGGACTTAACCAATCCTCAGGAGAGAAACCAAGTCCAGGACTGAGAAAATACGGGCCTCCAGAAACAGCCTCTGGAAAACAAGGTCCACAGAGACTACAACTCCCGGCACGACTCGGCCGGAGCGGTGCACGCCGGGAGTTGTAGTCCTTGGTGGCCTAACACGCCCAAGGATTGAGACGGGTGGTTCCCCTCAGGTCCAAGCTGGCTCTGGCCATGGGCCTACGTGTCCTCACGCCGCTGCAGTCTCCGATCTCCCAAAGAAGGCATCGTCGCTCCCCCTCGCAGACGAGGAAACTGAGCCTCAGAGAATGGCCTAAAGGAGCGAACCAAGCTCCGCTACCCCTCGAGTCTGTGCTCTTTGTGTAGCGCCTCGCAGCCGTCCAATCCGACGCTGGCGGAGGCTGGGGAGGGGCGGGCGGACAAGCCCTCAGGGAAACGACGGTTTTTTAAATCGACAGGGGGTCGCATTATTTCCCCCAGTTTCACAGGCGAGGAAACGGAGTCGCCGCGCCTCCCCGGTCACGTGGGAGCAAGCGCGGGGCCGGAGGCGCGGGCCGCGGGCGCCTGGCCCTGGCGCCGGGGCCGCCGGGGCCGGGGGGGCGTGGCTGGGGACGGCCCGCCCCGCCCCTCGCGCCCGCCGCTCCCGCGCGCTTGGTGCCGTCCAGGTGGTTCCACCCGCGAGCGGGCGCGGGGTGAAGCTGCGCAGCCGGCGTGGGCCCCCTGCGCGCGCCCGGGCGCTGAGGTCCGCGGACGGTTCCACCGCGTGGGGCCAGAGGGGGGCCGCAGCGGGACCCAGACCCCGGGCTGCAGCGGGAGCGACGCGCCGGCCGCCCGGTGGGGGTGGAGCCCCGCCGCGGCCCCAGGTAACGCCCGGCGACCCTGCGCCGTGCGCCCCAGGCGCGGGGCCAACGAGGACGGAGCGAAAGGGGGCGACCGCGGGCTGGCGGAGTAGCGCAGGGACTCCCCGCTGGGCCTCTGTCGGCGTCCGCAGGGCCGGCGCTCTCTGTCCGGGAGCCGGAGCCTCCGCTCGTCCGTCCGCCCGCTAGGTCCGAGCGTCCCGCTTCGGGGAGCCCCCGGGAATTTTAAGTTACATTGTGCCTCGCGCATGCCCCGATCGCACTCCCCGGCAGGTTGGGGCTTCAGCTGGGGGCCAGGCGCCCGGGACTGAGAGCCGAAGAGGCCCTGCAGTACTTTGGCCTCATCGCGGCGGTCCCAAACATTTTACCAGCGCTCCTGGGGCAGCCGCCGGGGAGCCAGAGCGGCCCGGGCACTGCCGGGGAGCGGCCGGGGGTCCGGGGAACAGACCATGGCGCCGCCGTTACTGCTTTCAGGATGTCGGAACGCCGGGGTGTCCAGAGAGCGTCTGTTTCTTGCCCAAGGTCACACCGCTTCCGTTGCTTGAGGGTTACTAAGCCAGAGTCGAGCTGCTTGGGGCCGGGAAGGCGGTGGGGACTAGAAGAGTAGTAGGAAGCTAGCCCCCTGCTAGGGGGAGACACTTAAGATGGAGGGGAAATGGGGAATTAGGTTGGCTGCTTTTCCCAGGATCAGCCAGGTGCTGCACTCCTGCAGTCCCCGGTTTTTGCAGACCCTGGGGGTTCCTCTGGTGAGTGCTGCAGGCGGGAGGGAGTCAGAAATGGGAGGTCCTCCCAGTGCCATACACACAGCGGGCAAACACCCAAGTGCAGACCCAGAAGGTCAGGTAGATACCACCGACCATGCATACTTAGGAGCCATAATTTATTCACTGAGATACAGCTACTTGCATCCCCATTTGACACCTGGACTAATTGAGTCTACAAAGGTGCTGTCTTCCTCAAGGTCACAGAGCTAGTTCCAGGCAGAGCCAGGGTCCTTGCCCAGGCAGCTGGTTTCAGAGGGTCTTTATTTAGCCATCTCTATTCTAGCTCCCTCAGTAACTATAGGAGATGCAGCCGTAGTGCTGCACCCACCAAGTGCTCAGTAAGCCTCCTTGGTCACTACGGTGATGCCTATGCTGGCTACAAAGGTAGAGTAAGGCCAACTTTCTGACCTGGAGCCCCAAATACTGCAGACCTGAGCCCCAGCCCAGGGACCACCTTTCCAGACACCCAGCTCTCTGCACAAACATAGCTGCTGCATTTTAGAGGAGTCAAAGCCTCAGCTGTGCTTGTGGTGGGTGCGAGGGTGTTCAGGCCTCTTGGGAGCAGAGGATTTGGCCTCTAAGTGGCCTGTCAACCCCCACCCTGCGGCTTTATGGTAGCCCAGAGCTTTGTGCCCTGAGCTAGCTCTACCAGGCCAAGCTATGTATCCCCGGGTGGTCTCTCGATCTCTGTGTTCTGCCATTGGGGGAGTTTACTGGGTCCTGTCTCTTTGGAGGAGGGTTTGAAAGATCTTAGGAGAAAAGAATGGGGTACTTTCTGAGCCTGAGGAGAGGAGGGAGGTAGCCAGCAGCTAATGTTGGGTGGGCAGCTAGAGCAAGGCCCAGCTCCAGCAGAAACCCATGACCCTGCCTCCTTCCTCCCAGAGTGAAGTCCCTCCTATCTCTTGCAGAAGAGACTGGAATAGGTACTGGAATGCAGCACCCAGTGTTTTGCATTTGGAGGGACCAGCATTAGGATTTTTCTGCCTCTTAATGGGATCTGGAGCCAATCACCTATCCCTGAGCCTCCACGGGCTCCTGTTGTGCCCAGATACCTGTATTTTTAATTATTGAGCAACCTTTGGGGACCCTGTGTTGGCGTTTGCATTGCATGAACCAAACTTAATGTGAGATTAGAATGGTGTTCCAGGTCTACTCCATGGTGAGTGGCTGTGTGACCGTGGGTGAGTTGTCTCCCCTTTGGCCCAAGTTTCCTTATCTGTAAAATGGAGCAAAATCATACTGAGCTCTTTAGGGCCATTGGACCAGTGAGATGATCAAGACAGAACAGTGAGATTACCAAGACTTTGCAGGAGACCCTAGAGCCCTGATCCCTCCAGAGAACCTCAGGGAAGATACCTGGGCAAGGGTGAGTCCCCACCCACCCACCCCCGTTGTTTCTGGAGCCCACTAGGCCACACTACCAGGATCTGTGGGGGAGGGAAGTCACTTCCTGAGTCTTCTTGTCAGGTGAAAGGACCAGAACCTGCTTCAAGGGGGTGGAGCCAAAGCATGTGATGAGACACACAGTAGGTGTGCAGGCCACATCCCCTCATTAAGGTTCCCACACAAAATATTTGTTGGTGTGGGCCTCCCCTGGTGGCGCAACGGTTGAGTGCTGTGCTGCGAGGCTGCCTGCAGCCTCTGCAGCACCGGTTCGTTCCCCGGCCGCCGGCGAGGGTCCCACCAAAAGAAAAAAAATAATTTGTTGGTGAATCTAAGAGGGAATTCATAGGAGAGTCCAGATTTCTGGCTTCTCTGGAAAACATAATAAAACAGACTCCTTCCTATTTATTTCAGTGATCCTGCCTGTGCCCCGGGGAAGGTTTTGTAGATCAGGCTGTGGTATTATTGGCCCCTGCCCTGGGGGGGATTATGAGAGTCTGTTGATTTACTAAAGGCTTCCCAAAACATTGAACCCAAAGGTCCTGCAGCAGAGAAGACTACAGCGATTTCCTAGCCCTGTAGGATCAGAGGTGAGAGTCAAACCCAGAACCCCTTCTTCAGGCATCTACCACCTACCATGAGCCAGGCCCTGCTGCCCCTGCCCCACCCCCTCACCCCCAGCAGTCCCATAGAGATAGCCTTTTGCTGTCTGATGCAGTGTGCTAGCCACCCGATGTGCACTGGGGATGCCTGAGCAGCTCGCTGCCAGGAGACAGGTCAGCCAAGGCTCAGGAAGTTGTCTGTGAGTTCAGTCCCCAAGATTGAGCAGGGTTTTGCTAGAGGTGAGTAGAGGATGTTGAGGATATTTTAGGCAGACAAAATGGTATTTGGACACTTGGTGTCTTCAAAGTATGTAACTGGTGGCTGAGGGTGGGGAGTGGTAAGGTGTTCTCACTGTATCCCCTCTCTGAGGCTGGTTATCCTGTGGTGTCTGCCTTTCAGGGAAGTTGGCTTTCAATCAGTACACTAAAAATACTGAATCCCTTCAAGCCATAATGGGACTGTGACAAGGCTGGGTCATGAAGTGAAAGTCAGGGTGCCTCTAGCCCAGAGTTCAGAGATGGGGGGCTCAATATAGTCTGAACACATCCCAGATTCCAATAAGAGGTTAGATGGGAGCTGTCTCAACGTATAGAGAAGAGGAATAGATTGATAGGAAGAAAAAGGACATCACAGGCAGGGCATCCAGTTGTGCAAAGGCAGGAAGTTTGCAGATGTGGAAAGCCACAGGGAGCACAACCAGGGTTGTAAGAGGGAGGCTGGAGAGATGAACCTGAGAAATTAAGTGGGGGAAGCTTGTTAAGTGCATCCCAGAAAGCCGGGCAGTAAAGTCTGCAAGTATCCTGACACTGGCAAGCAGGGTGCGGTCTTAACAGTCTAGGCACCTTCATTGTGGGAAGGGCTTTCTAATTGACAGTGGGAAAAATAAAAGATGGGATGGGACATAGAAGGGAGAGCTGATAAGGAGATGGCATCATCCTGTATGTCCCCACTTTTTCTCATGCATATGGTTTTAACTGATGGATAGAACTTGGCATTCCAGGTAACATTTTTTTTTTTTATGCATACAAGGATTGGGGTACAGGCCAGAGGTGTGGTGGGTGAGAGGATTCACCAGAGACAGAGTGGGGAACAGAACAGGCAGACTGACTGAAATGCTGAAGGGAGCTGCCGGCAAAGCAGCAGAGGTCTGCTGCGCCATGTGGGGAGCTCCCTGGCCAGCTGGGGATTGAACTGGTGCTGCAGAGGCTGCGGATAGCTTCACAGTGCTGTACTTAACCCCTTGCACCACAAGGGAGGCCCTCCAAGTAACATTCTGTATAGCGTTACATCATGAACTTGATCTGTTCTTAGAGATCTGCCAGCCACCCCTGGGCACCACCTGCAGACATTGTGTTGCTAGCCACACAGCCAAAGTGCCCTGTCATATTGTTACTGGCTGAAACAACACTTCCATGTGTCTATTCCCCAAACTTCCTTGTGGAATGTTTCCATTGGATATCCATCTTGAAGGGGGATTTCTGACTCTGCGAAAACAGAAAAGTTTTTATGGCATAAGACTTAATACATACACTTTTACAGTAATTCTCTTTAGAATTTTTATTAGTTTATACCACATAGGTTTTTCTTTTTAAAGAGAAAAGGCATATACAATAAAATCTATCCTCCTGACATAGTGCTCTCTTCTAGTTCTCCTCAGCACAATTGTTAAGCAGCTTCCTGTATATCCTTCCAAAAATATTCTATGCAGACACTGTATATAGCCAGTTTAAAAATTTTTGATATACTGTTAAACTATTCAGCGTTTTGCTTTCAATTTTATTTTTAAATTTGGGATTATGAAATATACCAAAGAAGCACCCTCTCCCTTCCCTTCCCCGCAGTAGCCCACCCTGTGGGTTTAACATGTTAACATTATGCACGGGCATCTTTTTTAAGGCTTTCCGGAAATTATCCCTGTGTCATTTCAGCGCCATACAGATAAGGGCAGTTAGTTCTCAGTTATAGGCACGCATCATTCTTTATTCGGCCTGTTCCAGATCTTGTAAATTTAGGATATTGCTGATTTTTCGTTCCTTTTTTGCTTATATAATTGATGTGTAGGTAATACTCCACGTTTTCTAATGTGTGACTGGGGAGGCGCTGAGGCAAGAGCGAGGCTGGGATTGGGCTTGGGTTCGGATGCCCGCTCAGCTTACTGCCTAGCTGCGTGTGGTGCGGGTGGGTAATGCCGCACTGATCCTCTCTACCCGTCTGTAAAATGGGCCGGCTGAAGTAATCCCTTCTCCCGCAGCCGCTGGGGAGAATACGGCTCAAAACTAAGGATTTCCTGGGTTTAGTTCCCAGGCCCCCCGGGGGAAGGGCTCTCCGCGCAGACTGCAGCCCTAGGGCCCCCCGCGCGCCGAGAGCGCAGGACACCTGCCGCTCCAGCTTCCAACTGTTCCCCGCGCCTTTCTCCGGCCACGCTGGGGGCGGGGCGGCGAGGTATCTCTGTGACGCCAGCGCGCAGCGGACCAATCCCTCAGCGGGGCAGGCGTTAGCTCCTTTGCATGGGTCGCCCGCCATTGGTCCGTTGAGCAACCCAGGGCGTCCCAACTTTTTAAAGCCGCCGCGTAGTATAAACAAGGTGTTGCGGGGCTGCAGGGCCATGATGTCATCGCGGCGCTGTAGCTCTTGGGGCTGACGTCATCTCCAGGAGGTTGCCGAGCCTCGGCTGTTAAGAACCATCCTAACCACTCGGACTGCTTAAGAGGCCGCCGCTGCCCCGTCGAAGGTCAGCCCCGTTGCACTTCACTGTCCCTGGCGGCGCCCAGTCCCCGAGGAGTGGACCATGACACAGTAAGTCCGGGCTGCGGCTCTCCCGGCGCAACCCATTTCTCCGGCAGGGAAACTGAGCTTTAGAGACGCGAGTGGTTCGCCAGTTTGCATAGCAAGTGCGAATTGCAGCCGATTCGTCTTGTACAGCCCGGGGTCTCCCATCTTTAGGTCTAACTATGCGGCCCCGCCCCTTCCTTATGCTTGTGGCTGCGGTCACTTTAAGTGAAAGATGGGGGCGAGATTTTTTTTTAAATCTGCTTTCCAAGATGGCGGCTTTGCCCGTCACGTGCCTAGTCGCAGCGCGTGATTGGCTCTTGGGGTCCCGCGGGGCGGGGCCGCTGCGGGCAGCCTCTTGCTACTGTTTGCCGGAACCTCCGAGCGCGCCCCCGCGAACCTCCCCCCTCTCCGCCCGGCGCGCCCCCGCGAGCCCCCCTCCCGCCCCGCGCGCGACCCCGCCGCTTCGAATGTTGTGAATCAAATGTGGGGTTTGTTACATTCCGCTGCCGCCGCGGACAGTTCTTAAAGGGCCAGCCGCCGGCAGCTGCGCAAACCCGACCGCGTCCTGCGCCGCCTCCCGCTCCCTGAGAGCCGGGCGGAGAGAGGCCGACCGCGCGCGGGCCTCGCGAGGTAGACGCCGTCCGACGGACAACAAAGAGCGGGCCCCGGAAGGAGCCGGCTGCCCCCAGAGCGGGGGTGGGGGGGAGCGCATTGTTCCGCAGGGCGGGGGCTCTTAAAGGGTCCTGGCCGCCGCGACCCTCCCCAGCCCCTGCCCAGCCGGGCCGGCTCAGACCGCGAACAAAGGCGTCGGCGTGTGGCCGGCGGCCGGAGGTGAGTCGGCGCCGGGGCCCAGCCCCGCATTTCCGCACCCCGGGGCCTGCGCCTCCCCCGGGGCTGGGCCCTCGCAGCTCCGCAGGGGTTAACCACTGGCGGTCCGGGGTGGGGGGGCGGCGAGCCTGCTAGAATCGGGGGGTCCCCCTTCCCCACCCCCCGCCCCGGCGCCCCCGAGAGCCGGCCGGGCCTCCCTTCTCCGCGGCCGAGAACTGCGGTTGGAGGGCCGGGAGCCGCCCCCTCCCCCCGCCGCCGCCACTTCCTTTGTTGTTGCTTTTGTCTCACGCCGAGCACATGGTCCGGGATCCGCGGCTCTTAAAGTCACAGCGCTCCGGCCCCGGCGCCGCGGGCTGCTCGCCCGCCCCCGGGCCGCCCCGAGTGCTGCACAGAAGCCTGGGATGGGAAAGGGGGGGTCTGGTGTCTGCACCGCGGCCCCCCACTGCCGGGGGCTGGTGGGTGAGGAGGCCCCCGCAACCTGAGTCTGGCTCGCCTTGAGTAGGTGCCTGCCCCATAGGGACGCTGGTCTCCTTGCCCACTGCTGCGGTCGCCTGGCTGCTGCTTGTCTCTTGGCTGTATTTGGGCTCTCTGAGGAGGAGAGATTTCCACCCCCACTTAACAGTTGTGGCAACTGAGGCTCACAGAAGGGAAGAGATTTCCTTGACCAAGGTCATCCAGGGAGTCTGGACCGTCCGAGGACTCCTACCTCCGAACCCGGTGGTCCAGCCCCCTGTGGGCTCCAGATGCCACTCTGGGGAGATCCTCTTGCTCACCAAGCAGTGCTGGGCCCAGCCTGCCTCTCTGGTGAAGGACGGGGTAGGGGAGTGGGGAGGGAATCTTATCTTGCTTTTAGTCTTCTCTTGTACCCAGCGGCTGACTGCCCATCTGCAAAACAGCCGTTTCTGCAAACATCCCTGAAACCCAGGTGACTTGGACTAGAACCAGGTAGTTGCTTGGGGCTCTAGAAATAAAAGTTGGCTGCCTCCTGGGAGAGGGGGTGGATACCTGCTTCCAGACGGGGTTGGGTTTAGGGATGGTACCTGAAAACCCAGTTACACAAACCGCATTGAGTCCTGAGCACAGGAAAGGTGTGGAAGGTAGAGCAGTTAGGGGGAGGGCTCCCGGCCACCCTTGCTTGTTTGACCTTGAGCAGGTTACTGGTTGCTTCTCTTCATAATCACACTGATCGCAGGTGATTGAAAGAGAAAACTGTCAGGTCTCCTGTAGGACCTGGAAAAGAGCTGGGATTACAGTTAGGTTAGTTAGGGTTAAGTTGAAGCTCACTAATGAGAGAGTCAAGGTTTTGAGAATCTGTGCCTAGGGCACTAGCCAGGACCAGGTAGTCCATCCCTGTCTGACTTTATGGCCTACACGAAGTTATTTTCATTCTCTTGGGTCTCAAGTTTCCTCAGCTGTGAAGTAGATCTGTCCCCTATGTGCCATCTCTGGTCTTCGGAGAACTTCAAGAAGCAGGCACTCCTCCCTGCCAGCTGGGATATTCCCCAGGACATCATATTTCCCTGCTGTGCCTTGCAGAATTTGAAGTGCCACCTGATTTTTGCTTGGTAGGTGGTGATGGGGGTCAACCTATATTTTTTAACACTGACCAAACATACACACCCAAGTGAATTGCCTTTGTAAGTCAAATGCGGGGCCTTTTTTGAGTATTTTTTGCCTGTTCACTGGGAGGTGTCATTGGGTGTTCCCATTTTACAGATGAAGCTGAGACACTAAAGACAGTGTGCCCCCCAAGACTGACCGGAAATCAGGGTGTCATGTGTAAGAATGCAGAGGTGGGTGCTGTCACCTTTGGCACCATCACGCACAGCAGCAGGCAATCTTGTGTCTGCTGGCCTGGCTTCCTGGCTTCTTGTCATTTCCCTTTTCTTAAAAGTGGGTACCTTTGAAGGGGCTGGCTCAGAACTGAGCCTGGACTGCCCCCCTGAGCCATGGCACTGTCCAAGGCCAGTCACTTCACTTCTTTAAGTGTTAGTGTCGTGCTTCTGAGAATTGCTGTAAGGACTCATGGAGGTGGCACAGGGCAAGGATTGCAGTTTTTATTACTATGCCTCGTCAGTAGAACTAGGATCTCTGGGATCAGAGCAGGGGTCCCCAAGACTTGGCCGTGCTATAGAAACTAATGGGGAATTTGGTAAACATCTAGGTGCCCTTATTTCCCACACCTTCAAAGATTGTGATCCAGAGGGGCCAGGTATCTGTTTCAGTTAGTGGTGCCTTTTCCTGAGTCTCCCTTAACCCTTGTTCGTTGGCTTGTCAGCAGGAATCAAAAGCTGTGTGACTGTACAGCTTGTTCACACCAGGAGACACAGACAAATGATGGGCAGGCAGGGAATGGGCCTGGGGTAGCCTGGAGTGAAAACTCCTACTCCCTTTGGGGGGTAGCATAGGGGAAAAGTAGAAATGAGCACTGGGAGACCCTGGTCTCCCAAAAATCAGGCACCATATTTTTTTCTGCCTGTTGTTTTTTTTTTTTTTTTTTTAATCCCCACAGAAAAAGCCAGATATTTATATAATCTCCAATTTTTATTCATTGGCACTAATTTTGCTGCTGCTGACTGTGGCCTTCAACGTGTAGATTAACTTGCCAGTGTATTCAGCACATCACACCTGCGCTGTGCTGGTCATAAGGTGTCTGTGGGCCCTGCCCACCCCTGTGGCAAGTGCTGGAGCCCAGGTTTGGCAGAAGTGTGAATTCTAGCTCTGGCACTTCCTGGCTGTGGCCTTGGCCCTGCGCCATCATAACAAGCCGAGAAGTGCCTCCCTTGCTTGCTCATGTAGGGTTGGACCCGTGCATGTAAAGCCTGGCACAGAGGAAATGCTTCTTGCTGCTTCTGGCAGGAAGGAACAGGTGTTGGGGAACAGTCATAGCCCCCTGACTGTGTCAACAGAGAGGCGACACCTCAAGCTGGGTGGGAGGACACATGGGAGTCTGGTTAGATTGAGGCTGGGGGGAGGCTCCCTGGGGCAGGAGCAGCAAAGGACTAGTCCTTTTGATGTGCTCCTCAGCTTTGCAGGGCCTGACAGGTTCCAGAGCTTCCTTGCTGGTGCCTCCTCCCAACCTCCAGAATTAATGAATGGTCCCACCTTCCCCATTCTGGGCCCCAGCTCCTAGCCAGGGCTGTGCCCCATTCCCACTCAGTTTCCTCTCTCAGGTTCTTGCTTCCCTTTTTTCTTAGCAACCTCACCTCCCACTTGGGGGCAAAGTTGGGCCTCCAGAGCCAGGGACTGTGTGCCAGACCTACCCATCCAGCAATGGGAGACCTTGGTCTCCCAAATTGAACACTTGGGCAAATCCCCACCTCTCACAGTCTCAGTTTCCTCTTCTGTGAAATGGAACTCCTTGAAGAGTAAATGAGTCACGCTTGGTAGATAATGGGAATGAGTTCTAGAAAGAAAGAGTACTGACTGGCAGCTCCCAAGGACAGGAACGGGCTTGGAATTCCCCCTGAACCAAGAAGATGAAAGGAAGGAAGCCAGGGCTCCCCAGCTGCCTGGAGACCCCACTAGAACAACCTGGCACACAAGCAAAGCTGGCCAGCCCTCTGAAGTCATCACGACCCCAAGAAAGGATTTGATCCGATTTCACAGAGCAGGAAAATGAAGCCTAAATTCTCTGCAGTCCAAGCCTCACTGTTCGATTAGCCCTGCGCCCCGGTGACCAGGAGAGGGCCAGGCTATAGAGGTTTGATTCTGCCTGCCTACCTGTAATGGGCAAGAGACTGAACTTCTCTTACCTCAGTTTCTTCCTCTGTTTTTCTCCTAGGGTTGGGAGCCCCGGCCTAGCCCCTCCACCCCTCTGTCACCCCTGATGCGACCATGGGCTCTGGCGGTGACTAGGTGGCCACCCTCTACTCCTGTGGGTCAGCGGAGATTCTCTGCAGGACCCGGCAGCACTCTGGGCCAGCCCTGGGGAAGGTAGGAAGGAACCTCCCAGTCCAGCAGAGGCCAGAACCTCAACACAGAGGCTGTCAGCTTGGGTGGGGTCCAGGGAGCAGAACACAGGGCTCTGAGCTGTCTCCCCAGTGGGTAATGACCTTGACTCTTCATGCTCTGTGAGTGAGTGACCCCTGCAGTCCTACTGGGGCCTCCTCTCTGTGGTGCAGCCCCGGCCGCGAGGGCCCCCTGGCCAGCCCGCCTGCCCAGGATGAGCGCTTACCCTCCCAGCAGCCGCCACCCCGACCATCACATCTCCCCGTAGAGGAGCACCGAGCCTCGGCTCCTGCCGGCAGGAGCCCCCGAATGCTGCACCCAACCTCCCAACAGAGCCCGTTCATGGTTGATCTCCACGAGCAGGTAGGCGGAACGCCCTCCACCCTCATTGTGCTGCCCCCCAGCTTCTGGCAAAGCCATCTGAGGAGCAGAGGTGGCAAACTCCTGTTTTCCCCTTGCCTAACCCACTGCCTGTTCAGGGAGAGGAAATTAGGCCTGTTTTACAGGTTGGTAAATTGAATCCAGAGAAGGCCTCTTCCCTGAGGCCGCACAGTGAATGACTGGCAGGACTGGAAGCCCTCCCAGGTTACAAAAGGTTCTCTGTGCCCCCTGGGGCCTGGGGTAGAGGGACAGGACTTGCATCTAGGTGGGTTCCAGCTAGAGAAAAGAAGGAAGCCAAACCCAAGGAACTTCTCACCTGAGGCCAAGCTTCCTCCCTGCAGTTCCCCTGGGTTTCTCTCCAACTACAGGTGCACCAGGGACCCGTCCCTCTGTCCTACACAGTCACCACAGTGACGACCCAAGGCTTCCCCTTGCCTGCAGGCCAACACATCCCTGGCTGCAGTGCCCAGCAGCTCCCAGCATGCTCCGTGATGTTCAGTGGGCAGCACTACCCCCTCTGCTGCCTCCCACCCCCGGTGAGTGAGTGCGTGCCTCCAGCCAAAAGCTCCAGCACAGGGCAGCAGCAGAATGCAGCCAAGTTTTGCATACCCACCCTGCCTAGCAGACCACACCTGGCTGCAAGCCTCAGCCCTGCCCAGAAAAGACTGCGTTCACCTATGGTGAGAGGGCATTTCCAGTGCCGAGACCTCCCTGGACCCAGCACTTGCAGTTTGGAGTCAGGACTGTGGGCCTTTAAACTCCAGACCCTGGAGTTGGGGGGTGGTGTTCAATGAGGGGGCGGGGCGCCCTGTGCCTGATGGAATGGCTCCTGACCCTTGTCACAAGCACAGACTCAGCCCCAAGCCTAGGAGACCTTCTCCAATCCCCGCCCCCTCTCTTGGCAGCTGATCCAGGCGTGTACCATGCAGCAGCTCCCTGTGCCCTATCAGGCCTACCCCCACCTCATCTCCAGTGACCACTACATCCTGCACCCCCCACCGCCAGCCCCACACCCCCAGCCTGCCCACATGGCACCTCTTGGACAGTTTGTGTCGCTGCAAACCCAGCACCCACGTATGGTAAGTCTGGGTGATGCTAGAGGGGATGGCATGGGGAGCCAGGGCCCAGGGGCTGCCCCTGACACTGACTCCAGGGCACCCAACCCTGTCTCTTCCAGCCCCTGCAGCGGCTAGATAATGATGTGGATCTGCGGGGGGACCAGCACCCCCTGGGGAGCTTCACCTACTCCACCTCTGCACCGGGCCCAGCCCTGCCCCTGCACTACCTGCCCCACGATCCACTGCATCAGGAGCTGTCCTTCGGTGTGGTGAGTGCTGCGCCCCTGCCCCACACCCCACAGTCCGGAGCCGTTGGAGACTGGTTGGCTGTTGACCTGCCCCTGGCCCCCCTCTCACAGCCGTATTCCCATATGATGCCACGGAGACTGAGCACCCAGAGATACCGCCTGCAACAGCCGCTGCCCCCACCACCCCCGCCGCCGCCCCCACCACCATATTACCCCAGCTTCCTGCCCTACTTCCTGTAAGTACCATTTCTTCTGCCCCAGAACCACAGACCTCTGTACTCCTAGGGCCCCAGTGGTTAGTCCTAAACACAGCTCCCTGGGGTTCCCAGGGCCTCTCAAGCCATCTGTCATCCCCATAAACCACCAACACCCACCAGCAGGTTCCCTGCTCTCCTACAACCTCCTGAGCTAACACCAGGGTGCACGGTGAATGGTGCAGAGTTCTGGACTTTGTTTGCATGAAGAGAGCAGCTCTGCACACCTACTGACTTGACCCTGGGCCCCCATGCCTGTCTCTCTAGCTCGATGCTGCCAATGTCACCAACAGCAATGGGGCCCACCATCAGTCTGGACCTTGACGTGGATGACGTGGAGATGGAGAACTATGAGGTCCCAGGGAGCCCCGTCCTGGGAGGTGGGGACTGGGGGCACTCTGGCCCTGGGCACTGCTGACCCTCCCCTCCTGCCCCTGTCCAGGCCCTCCTGAACCTGGCAGAGCGGCTGGGAGACGCCAAGCCCCGAGGCCTCACCAAAGCGGACATTGAGCAGCTTCCGTCCTACCGCTTCAACCCAGATGGTCACCAGTCGGAGCAGACCCTGTGAGTGCCAGGCTCCAGCTTGTGCCCCCCCGTGATGGGCTGCGAAGGGCCCCCTCTTCCAGGGAGACTCTGCTTTATGATGAGCAGCCTTCCCTCAGCTGTCAGAGACAAGGTGACCCTCTGTGCCTCCTCCCAGGTGTGTCGTCTGCTTCAGCGACTTCGAGGCGAGGCAGCTGCTCCGAGTTCTCCCTTGCAACCACGAATTCCACACCAAGTGTGTCGACAAGTGGTTGAAGGTAACATGACCCCAGGGGCTCCCAGGTGTTGCGTGGGTATAGGGGGGTATCCTCATCTTTGTCAGCGCTGGCTCCATTCAGGGGCCAGGTCCCCACAGGTGGCAGTGTTGTATTGGGTGGGGGATGTGAGTGGAGCCTGACGTTGGCTGCTCCCCCCCAGGCCAACCGGACCTGTCCCATTTGCCGGGCTGATGCCTCCGAGGTGCCCAGGGAGGCTGAGTGAGGCCCCACAACTGTCCAGGAGAACCCTGTCCGAAGCTCTGGAAACTCGGGGGGGGACCCAGGGAGGATGGGGAGGGAGTGACCCAGGCCTGCCCCATCGTTCTCACCTGCATCTCCAGAGCTGGTGCCAGGGTCAGCCCCAAGAGAAGCCCCTGCAATAAGCCCCTGCACTTGCCAAGCTCCAAAGACTCCTTCCCCCATCTGCCTGCCAGTCCGCCTGCCACGGAGCTGCCTGAGTGTCCCCAACTCGGTCTCCTTCCTGTTTGCCCTTGGGTCCACCTCTTTCCTGCCGGCACTGGGAGCCAGGGGTCCATTCCCCCAGTGCAGTTGGTGGGTCCTTGGCCCCGGGCTGGGCAAACGGGGCACAGTCCTGGGTAGCCTGGTCTCTAGCACTGAAGTGTTATCCCATCTGCCCAGGTGGCACGGACGGGCATGCAGCGAGACAGTGGCACGAGGCCATCTTGAGCCCCAGGCCCGGGTCCTCCTGCCTTGATCCCAGACAGACTCAGGCAGCCAGCCCAGCCCAGGCTGCAGTGAAGGGGGTCAGTCTGGTTCCCAGGAGGACTCTTACCCCAGGCACAACATTCCAGCCCCACCCCCAGGCTGGAGGGTGTCAGAGCCAGCCTCCCAAGCACATGGGAGACAGACCCTGAGCTGGGGCGGCACAGATCCTGAGGGGGCCTGCGCCGTGCCAGGAAGAGTGACCTGTGTTCTAGTGGCCACCCCCTGCTGGTGGCGGGGGCCAGACCCATGTCCAATCTCCCCTCTGTCGTTTTGCATGAATGTGAGGAGCAGCAGTTTTTGCTTATTCATTTGGCCCAAAATCGCGTGTAGGATTTGGGGGTGTGGATTTTTAAAACAATTTGTTTTCTTCTGGTTTAATGGGGGGAGGGGGTCTAGGGACCAACTAGGACCGAGTACCCAGGGGGCAGGAACTGGTCCTGTGGTGCCGCCTGGTTTGCATGCGCGTGGCTGGGCTGGACCAGGCGGCTGGTGGTCACGGTTGGGGTTGGGGGGGCGCTCTGTGCTCAGCTGATAACTGCCATGCACTGTACTGCACACGTCCCCAGAGCCTACCGGGACCGTACGCTTTTCAGGGCATTTATCCCTCTCCAGCCAGGGCCTGTCTCCCACCTGCCTGGGTGAGTCTCCTCCAAGGAAGTCCCAAGAGGGCAGGGACCAGGGAGGGCATGGACCCCACTTCCGGGGGTCCCCTCCCAGCCTGAACCCTGCTCTCCAGGCCTGGAGGAACCCCCCCCCCCCCGCCCCCATAGGGTCTGGCTGAGCTCCCTCTTCCTCCCCGGTCCTATTCCTTGCCTTTCCTATCCCCAGCTGGGGTTGCTGCCCTGAACGAACCGCGTGTGGGGCCGGCACATCCTAGCAGGCAGCCCCTGGCGCCTGCTGCCTCAGGGATGCTCCAACCACCCTCGTTCTCCCGTAGCGCCCTGGCTCCCTGCCTCTTCCTAGCCTGCCATGGGGCCCCATCAGCCCGGCCCCACCCCCATGGAGAACCCAAAGTCTTACTGTATATAACTCCAGGTGACGTTTCTATATTTATAGCAGTGTTGAAACCCCACATGTTTTACACAGAACCACCCTCTCCCACCCCCCTCCCTCTCCCTCCCCAACAAAAGGTTTTCAAAACCCTTACGGTTCCTGGGGCAGGCGGAAACAGGCTCACGGATTGCGTGTCGGCTGCAGCCATGGTTCCAACAAGCAGCTATGGGGGGAAACACAACATTTAAAAAAAAAATCATTAAAAAAAAAGATTTATGAAACAATTACTTAGGATGTTTGTGATTTGCCGACCTTGCTATAGATGCCATGTTACCAATGATTTCCTGTGGTGGGGGCTTGTCATTGTTTACTCTTTTATTTACCAACTTCTGGCCTAGGCATGACAGTGGACACCATCCCCCAGCCCTGGCTGGGCCCAGCACCTGTGTTCTGTGTTAGGAAGGTTTTATATATATATAATTACATATATATATGTGTGTGTATATATATGTAATTTTGGGGGGCCCTGTTCCTTGCACATTTTACAGTTACCTCATTTTTTCCCATGTATGTATTTGAGAAAATGCTAATATATAGAGAAAAAAAAAAGGTTCTTAAAGCTTAAATGTGTGGTTTTTTCCATTCCATTGGATTCACATTGGTTTGTAGCATTTAACATAACTAGTATGTTGTATTATATATATGTGTATACTGATTGAAATTTTTAACAGATTTGTACTTTTTTTAAAATGAAAGTTGCTAGTTCTGCTTGACCAAGTAGTGCAATCATTATTTTTTTTAATATTGTTGCTGATTTCAGAGGGATATTCACTAATAAATGTATGACGTATATCAAGTATTGCCCAAGCTGCCTTTGGCTGCCTCTCTTCTTTTCGGGGGGTGGAGGGTGATTCTGAGAGCGGGTAGGGGTCAGGACGAGGTGGGTAGGGGAAATCGTGCTGCGGATCTTCGGGGGAAATGAGATCTACCAAGTGATAGCTTATGCTAGACCATCTGCAAATTAGGGTTCTGTTAGCATCCACAGGGTCCCACGTAACTAGTTTGAGGTCAGCATCACTCGTGCCCCGCAATTGAATTCTGGAGGTAGGTTCTGCCTCAGGTAAGCTGGATAGGGCTCAGGTGTATCATAAGGAACCAAGGTCAACATCTTAAACTATGGTTGGAAAGGGCTCTTCCTCTGTAATGGTTCTTGGTGTCAGTTTCATCTATTTTCTATCCTCTCCCTGGGAAAACCAATTTTTCCCTGAGAATTCTAACAGTTTCTGGCTAATGTCATATTCTTAACCATGTCAAAGATGATGGACATCCTCCCTCCAAATCAGAACAAAACCTCATACTCAGCATACTGGAAGTCCTAGCCATCATGTAAGGCAAGAAAAAGAAAATAAAGTTAAGCATGTAGATTAAAAAGGAAGAAATAGAACTATTCCTGAATGTAGACGTTCTGATAAACGGAATTGTGCTGCAGAGGCTAAGACTCAACCCCTTGAGCCACCAGGGAGGCCGCCTCACTTCATTCTTAAATTTTTTTTTAAAAAGATTCATTTTTATTTATAAAAGAACTGGGAAACAGGTCAGAAGGCGCGGGAGGGTGAGAGAATTCACCAGAGAGAGCTGGGAGCAGAACAGGCAGACGGACCAAAGACACTGCTGAGGGGAGTAGTGGGCGAGACAGGAGAGGTCTGCCGCGCCATGTGGGAATCCCAAGGAATCGACAGAAAACCCCAGAATTAAATGAGTTCATCAGGTCATGGACTACAAGATCAATGTACAAAACTAATTGTATTTTGTATACTAACAAATGCATGGAAGTCAAAGTTAAGTCTACAGTCAAAAGAGAAACACATGGAGGGCCTCCCTGGTGGCTCAGGAGTTAAAGACAGCACGATCAAGCTATCCCCGCCAGCCCGGAGCTGACCAACAAGGCTCAGCAGACCTCTGCTGTCCCGCCCACTGCTCTCCTCAGCAGTGTATTCCTGTAGATCTGCCTGTTCTGCTCCCCGCTCTGGTGAATCCTCTCATTTCCCCCCCAACCTCTGGCCTACGCCTCACTTCTACATAAGAAAGGAGGGAGGAAATAAACCAGTTTGGGAAGAAGTGACATCTTCTAATTCAGAATGTTTCTCCATTTGTGTTAATCTTGGCTTTTTTTTCATGTCTTTGTACTATCTCTCTATAGTGGAGTCTCTTCGCTAATTTGCAGATGACCCAAATGCAAAAGAGAAGTGCCCTGACCCAGGCTGTGGATAGTGGCCTTGCGGAGAAACATGGTCCCAGGTCTCTGGACCCGAGTCCACTGCTTCTCTTCTAGATCCAACATACAACTCTGTAACTTGTTTCATTAGATTTGTGCATGTGTTTCTCTTTCAAACATTTATTAATTTATACATACAAGAACTGGGGTGTTCTCGTATGTTCCTTTTTTTATGTAGAAGGACTGAGGTGTAGGCCGGGGGTACAGGAGGCGAGAAGATTCACCAGAGACAAAGTGGGGAGCAGAGCAGGCAGATCTATTGCAATAAACTGCTGAGAGGAGCAGTGGGTGAGACAGGAGGTCTGCTGTGTCACGTGGTTTAGCTCCCTGGCCGGGGATGGAGCCCAGGCCTTAATGTCGATAGCTCTAAGGTTTAACTCCTAGGCCACCAGGGAGGCCCCTGATCTGTAAGTTTAATACACTTCCTACCAAAATTCCAGCAAATGTTTTTCTTGTGATATACAGACATTTTAAAATTAATATGACAAGGCAAAGAAGCTAGAGGAACTAAGACAGTTTTGAAAATTAAGAATGGGGCCTTCCTGGTGGCTCAACAGGTTGAGCGCTGCGCTGTGAAGCTGTCCACAGGCTCTGCAGCGCAGGTTCGATTCCCGGCCGGCCAGGGAGATTCCCACATGGCGCGGCAGACCTCTCCTGTCTCACCCGCTACTCCCCTCAGCAGTGTCTTCGGGCCGTCTGCCTGTTCTGCTCCCAGCTCTCTCTGGTGAATTCTCTCACTTTCCCGCGCCTTCTGACCTGTTTCCCAGTTCTTGTATAAATAAAAATGAATCTTTAAAAAAAAAATTAAGAATGAAGTGAGGCGGCCTCCCTGGTGGCTCAACGGGTTGAGTCTTAGCCTTTGCAGCACAATTCCATCCCCAGCCAGGGAGCTGACCCATGCGGCGCAGCAGACCTCTCCTGTCTCCACTGCTCCCCTCAGCAGTGTGTTTCAGTCAATCAACCTGTTCTTCTCCCCTCTCTGCCTCTGGGGAATCCTCTCACCCCTTCCCCCACACCTCTAGCTTACACCCCAGTTCTTGTAGACATAAATAAATAGATCTTTAAGAAAAAAAGAATGAAGTGAAGAAAATCGCTCTGCATCAGTGTGTACTGGCAGAAGGAGAGACAAGATCAATGGAAGAGACTAAAGACCACAGAAACAGACCCGCACAAGCCAACCAATTTTCAAACGTTCACTGAAGGGATAGTGTTTTCAACAAATAACATGGGAGTAGCTGGACATCCATAAGTGAAAAAAATAGTGATTTAAAAAAGGAATCTTGACCTAACAATACAAAAATGTGCTCAAAATGCATTACAGATTTAAAAGTAGAACCAGAATAGCAAGGAAGTGATAATCTTGGGGATCTGGGGCTAGGTGAAGAGTTCTATTTTTTTTTATATAGAGGCATGTTTTTATTTATTTGTATGTTTGTTTGTTTTTGTTTTTGTTTATACAAGCACTGGGTACAGTCAGAAGTGTGGGAGGGTGAGCGAATTCACCAGAGCCAGAGCGGGGAACAGAGCAGGCAGAAGGACCAAGGTACACTGCTGAGGGGAGCAGCGGGCGGCAGGAGAGGTCTGCGTGCCATGTGGGACCCTCCTCCAGTGGCCGGGGAGCAGCCGGGGATCGAACCGGCGCTGCAGAGGCTGCGGGCAGCGTCGCAACCCAGCGCTCAACCGCTGCGCCACCGGGGAGGCCCAAAAACAATCCATAAAAGAAAAAAAATCAATAAACTGAACTTCATCAAAATTACAAACTTAATTTGTAAGTCACATACCTGAAAAGATTTGTATCTAAATATGGAGAACTCTCAGAACTCAACAAAAAACAATCCAATTAGAACATGGGCAAAAGACAGCAACATGTCACACGTTCAACACCACTAACCATTGGAGAAATGAAAATTAAACCACAAAAAAATTACTGCAAACTTACTGAAAACTCTAAAATGATAACTATAGTTTCAAATTCTGGCAAGGATGCTGAGAATGTTAAGTCGTACAGCCACTTCAGAATATAGCTTGGTAGTTTCTTTTTTCTTAACATTGTTAAAACATTTATTTTGATACGGTCTGTCATAATGAGTCAGTGGGGTTCCTCTGCGTGGATGCATCTGAGAAGAGCCCAGTGCCATTCAACCCCCTCAGTCATCCTAGACACGGGCACAACCCTCCATGTGCATTGGTTGCTTCCAAATCCAGAAAACCAAAGGGTCCCTTATTTCCAAAGTAAGCTCAAAACAGTTGATTCAGACATTCCCGGGATCTGTACCCCTCTTAAATCCCAGTAAATCATGATAGGAATAAAAGCCCCAGAGGATGGCAAATTGGCTGTCCTTGAAAAGCTGCAGCAGCCTCTGCTTGGCCCCTACTCAGCTTCACCATGGGGACAGCCTCGCAGTTTCTTATGAAACTAAACAAGCACTTACCGGCGGCGGCACACCCAGGCATATATTCCAGAAATGAAAGCATGTCCACACTGGGAACAAACCAAAAGACCTTCAGTGAACAAATGGTTAAACAAATTGTGGTACACACCAGATCTTGGAATGCTACTTAGCAACTTAAAGGAAGGAACTATTGATACATCCACCAACTTGGATGGATCTCAAGGGAACTATGCTGTATGAAAAAAGTCAATGACTAGGGACATATACCTCCATTTATATAACATTATTGAAATGATAACTATTAGAGAGCTGGAGAATAGGTTGGTGGTTGTTGGGGGTTAGGGATGGGCCACAAAGGAGGGGGACTATAAATGTGTAGCAGGAAGGGCTTTCCAGTGATGTAACAGTTCCCTCTCTTGGTTTTGATGTGGTTACAAATTTACACATGATGAAATTGACAGATCATCCCTGCACCAACTGCTATTAGTGAGCTCTTTTTTCTGGTTTTAGTTAAGGTATCACCATTGAAGGAAATGGAAACATCCACAAGATCTTTCTGCAATTTTTTTAAAGATTTTTTTTTTTTAAAGATTGATTTATTTATACAAGAACGGGGGTATAGGTCAGAGGCGCGGAAGGGTGTGAGGATTCACTAGAGACAGAGCAGGGAGCAGAACAGGCAGACGGACCGAAGACACTGCTGAGGGGAGCAGCGGGCAAGTCAGGAGAGGTCTGCTTGCACCGTGTGGGTTAGCTCCCTGGCCAGGGATCGAACTCATGTTGCAGTGGCTGGCTTAACAGTGCTATGTCTTTAACCCCTGCCCACCAGGAAGGTTCCAAAAAGTTATTTTTTGGGGGCCTCCCCTGGTGGCACAGGCAGTTGAGCATCGTGCTGTGAAGCTGCCCGCAGCCCCTGCAGCGCCGGTTCGATCCTGGCCAGCCAGCGAGGGCCCCACATGGCGCGGCAGACCTCTCCTGTCTCCCCGCTTTTCCCCTCAGCAATATATTTTGTCAGACTGCCTGTTCTGCTCCCTGCTCTGTCTCTGGCGAATCTTCTCACCCTCCCTCACATCTGGCCTGTACCTCAATTCTGTTCGAAGTTGTGGCGGGGGGTGTGGGGTGGGTGGGGAGGTCATTCTGGTTATCTCCTTTTTGTCAGAAATTCTGCCTACCAGTGCCTGACT